TCACTGTGTTTTGTTGGAATTTGAGGGTGAAAAATGAAAATGGATATTTCAATTTCGTGTTCTCAAAGTCTCCTACTCCGTAGTTTTTTTTGTTTTTTTTTTTTTTTTTAAGGGTAAATTTTAATTAGTGGAGTAATATTGTGGGTCAAATTGCCAACATAATAGTGTTTTTTTTTTTTTGACAGGAATAATAGTGATTTTCCGTGAGTATAAAGCTCTGTTCACTTCGCCTTAAAAAAAAAATTAATATTAAGTAAAAATAATTTCAGTTCAGTAAAAATAAGTTCATTTCATTAAAAATAATTTCATTTCAGTAGAAATAAGTTTTTTTTATTTTTAAAGAGGAAATATAAAAGAAAATCAGTAAAATAATTACAGGTCAGCAAAAATGATTTCAGTTTAGTATAATTAATTTCAGTTCAGTAAAAATAGTTTAAGTTCAACAAAAATAATTTCACTTTAGTAAAAATAATTTAAGTTCAACAAATATAATTTCACTTTAGTAAAAATAATTTCAGCTCAACAAATATAATTTCAGTTCAGTTTAAATAATTTCAGTTCAGTAAAAATAAGGTGAAGTGAACAGAGCTGATGTTACATTGTAACATTGAGCAATATTACCCTAGAACAAATTTGTCACTTGATTTGTATGATGGATTATGGTGTACTAGTTGGTCACTTGATTTGTATTACAAGTTTATCACCTTGATAAACTTGAATTTTCTTGTGTGTTTTGTGTTTAAATTTAAGTTCAAAATACACAATGGTACTAAAAAAAAAATTACTTTTGTAATTTATATGCTTTCAATGGTACAATTAAATTGTAGTCCATGTTATATTTTTCTCCATTGTCATTAGTTTCCTTAATACCTTGCATAAAATTATGAAATTTAAGCGATTTACTATCTCAGTTAAGAACTAAATCGATCTTCATACATAAATAATCATGGCACATAATATTTTGTAATCAACCTATTTTTAACCCATATGAAATCAATTTGATGATACATATAACTATTGAAGTGACCTAGGCAGATTGATTAAAATTTTGAAATAAATAACTCTGTATGTTTCCTATAACTACCCCAACTAATTGGTTCATGAACAATGCACTTTCATGCTAATTGTCAGCCACACTTAAGGAGTGTATCACCCTCTCTGATCAACCATTTAAAAATATACTTCACATGAATTATAAAATCTAAAAAGAGTTCATAATAGTTGATCTAAAAACACAATAAAATAGTGTAATGTTTCATAAACTAAAATAAACACAAAACTATTTCGAATTGATCCTTCATTCTTACTTAGGGCATGAATTGAACTGAACAAGAGTGAGCTGAACTAGGCTGAAATGAATTGTTTATGAGAAAAGGAAATTAGGAACTGAACTGAACTAATTGGAGCTGAACCGAACTGAACAGACCCTTACTCATTACAAATTTCAATCTTTTGAGATGTTTTTTACCTCTGTATAGTACTTTACATAGAACTACAACTCATTTTGTATTATTAGGCACTCTTCAATAAATTTTGTTAACAATTGTATTATTTCAAATTAATATTTAAGTTTACTCTATATAGTATTCCTTAACGCTAAATGTACAATGAATTCATCTAATAACACTATAATACTAGGACTTAGAAAATGCTTGGTTGATTATAAAAAAATACACAATCATAAGTTCATTAGATAGAGTACAAATAGAATCACAATTTTTATAATGTGAGGATCGGGTATCCATATCCGAGCTGCGTGAACATCACGCAGAGGGTAAAGAAAGCAAAAGATGCTCTTTACACAAAACTTTTATTTTCACATCCGATGAGGGGCTCACGACTCACACACCTCACTCAACTCAGAGTCTCTAAAACCAATTTACAGAGAACAAAGCAAAGACAAAAGGGACCCTCCCAATTGCCAAAGCTGCCGAAAGAAAGAATATTTCACTATTCATTAAATATTACCTTTACCCTTTATTAATCACTACTAATAAATGCTCAGAATTTCTCATAATTCCCCCCTCATTAATTAATTTACACTTTCCTTTTCTTGGAAACTGAGCTTAATTTTCCGTTACACATTTGATTATACTCTCTAATTTAGTAATTATGTTGTTGAAAATGGCCAATTTCAATAAAGTAGACAACAAAGAAGAATGTTTGGTCCTCTTCCTCGTCACATGAGCTTCATTTTCTTCACTTCCTCTGCTTCAGCTTCAACCTCAGTTCAGCTACTTCTTCAGGTCTCCTCTTTCTCTCTTCTCATTTCCTATTTCTGGTAAAAAAAACCCACTTCATTTTTACCAAGAATTTTAAATGGGTTTCAATTTTTAGTCTCAAAGACCTTATCTTTATCTTTGTTTGAAGATTATAATAAATGGGTTGTTAGTTTTTTGTCTTTTTTTTTTTGGGTTTTTTGTTTAATTTTTGGGACCCATTAAGCTTCCAAGTTTGTTCATTTTAATGGAAGCTAAAAAGGGTTTAAAATTTTGCAGATTTTTCCAATTTAGTAGGATTTTTTTGCCATTTTTGTTGTATATGTTGTTGATATTGGAAAACCCTAGTGTAGTTTCAGCTGTTGATGTTCACCCACAAGATAAAGCTACACTCAGTGAGTTCAAATCAAAAATTATTGACCCGGGCCCGGGTTTGGCTTCATGGGTCGGGTCCAATTGCTCCAATTGGATCGGCATTACCTGTGAAAACCCGACCGGTCGGGTCATTTCTATGGAATTAAGCTCTATGAACTTGTCTGGGAGTATTAGTCATAGTATATGCAACCTATTTTCTCTTCAAACCCTTTTTTTGTCTCATAATAATTTTACTTCTGTGATTCCACCTTGTTTGGGAAGTGTTTTGAGTTTAAGGGTAGTTGATTTTAGTCATAATGGTCTTAGAGGGTTAATTCCTGATTCATTGAGGAGGTTGAAGCATTTGAGGGAGCTTACATTGAATAGTAATAGGTATTTGGGAGGGAAATTGCCAATGTGGGTTGGTAATTTTTCGAGGTTTCTTGAAAGACTTGATTTGGGGTCGAATTCGTTTGGAGGGGAGATACCGGAAAGTCTGTTCCGGTTGGAGTCTCTCAAGTACTTGGACCTTTCGGAGAATGGTTTGTCAGGGAAGCTTGATGGGTTTCATCAATCTTTGGAGGTCCTCAATCTAGCTTCTAATCGTATTTCGGGTACATTGCCTTGTTTTAATGCTTGTGTGCAATCACTTAGCATACTGAACTTGGCAAACAATTCTTTGGTTGGAAGGATTCCTTCTTGTATGTCTTCACTTCGAGCTTTGAGGCAGCTCAATCTGTCCAACAATGGGTTGCAGTATGGGATTTCGCCAATGTTGGTGTTCTCGGATAAGCTTCTTGCTTTGGACTTGAGTCACAATCAGTTGTCAGGTCCTCTTCCTAGCAAAATTGCTGAGACAACAGACAAGTCGGGGCTTCTTGTTCTTGACCTGTCACACAACCAATTTTCTGGTAACATTCCTCTGAAAATCACGGAGTTGAAAAGTCTACAGGCATTGTTTCTCTCTCACAATTCACTTAATGGGGTTATTCCTGGGAGCATTGGGAATTTGACGTATCTCCAAGTCATCGACCTCTCATACAACTCTCTAACAGGATCCATTCCTTTGAACATTGTCGGGTGCTTCCAGCTTCTTGCATTGATACTCAGCAACAACGGTCTTTCTGGTGAAATTCAACCAGAGCTTGATGCACTAAATAGTTTGAAGATTCTAGATATTAGCAGCAACAAGATCTCTGGTCAAATACCCCAAACCTTAGCCGGATGCAGGTCATTGGAAGTAGTGGATTTCAGCTCTAACAGTCTCTCTGGACCTCTAAATGATGCTATGAACAAATGGTTGAATCTCAAGTTTTTGTCACTTGCTCAAAACAAGTTTGAAGGTACTCTTCCTAATTGGCTCTTTACATTCCCATTCATCAGAACAATCGATCTTTCAGGGAACAGATTTTCTGGCTTTATACCTGATGGTACCTTCAACGTCAGCAAGAGTTTTAACAATGCAGCTATGAGTGGCATGAATACTGAGGGGAGTTTGGTATCAGTTAAAAGTAAGATCATCCAAATTTCTGTTATGGTAATGGATCGAAATGAGCTGAGTTTTGCTTATGGTCTATTTTCACCTGTGGGAATTGACCTGTCAGATAATCAGCTGAATGGGGAGATACCTGAGAGTCTATTCACTTTACATGGTTTGGATTATCTTAATTTGTCCTACAATCTTCTGGTGGGTCAGATTCCTGTGGATTTAGAGAAGATGTGGAATTTAAGGGCTATTGATCTGTCTCACAATTATCTTTCTGGCCCTCTTTTGGCCAATATTTCAAGCCTTCAAGAGCTAATATCGCTGAATTTTTCCTACAATTCTCTCTCTGGATTTGTTTCAAGGAAGCAGGGTTACTGGAGATTTCCCGAAGCATTTACTGGAAATCCAGCTTTATGCATTGAGGTATCTGCTGGAAAGTGCCAACCTCCACGAATTCCTGCACTTCCTGGTGACAAGTTCAGGGATGATATGGAGGAAGGGCCAATATCAGTGTGGATTTTTTGTGTAACTGCTGCTGTAACCTTCTATGCAACCCTGATCGCTCTCTTTTGTTGGCCCCGATCAAGAAACTATATTCTTAGGTCAAAAATTTAGGTGCATTGTACAGAGAACAAAACTTTTGTACATCTGTTTGGTCTCATATGACTTTGATTTGTCCTCCAGGGAGGAAAGCAAGTCATGTTTTTATTGATACAGTTACAGCTTTAAGCTAATTTAACTTTAACTTAACTTGAATTACCATGTTTGAAAGTCTCTTGTGTATACTGGATGATGAGACAATTGGGCAATGGTATTCCCTCTAGTGAATATGCACCATTGCAGTATATGCTACATTTGATTAGGTTAAAGAAGTTTAATAAAAAAAATTTGTTACCGAACTTCTAGTAAAGCGTAAATTGAAGGTAACATTGGAAATTAACTTTTTTTTTTTTTTTTTTTTTGAAGAACATTGGAAATTGACTTACCAAATCCAGAAAGTAAACTTAGTTCAGGACAACTTAAAACAGAAATGTGGCATGTCGAGGGACAAAAGGAGCATTACTTGTATCTCATGACTGATAAACCTGTAAATTTACACTCTTTGAGCTTTTGCAAAATTGCATACATTCTGAAGATTACTGAATTATTACGAGGCTTGATTGCTGAGATTCAAGACATCAGGGGCTAAGGTAAGTAGGTAACTCAAGGAAGCTAAATCAGTTCCTACTTCCTAGACTACAAGCCTAATGCTTCCCTACAATGCCACCCACCCCCCTAAATAGCCCAAAAATTAACATTCAAATTGACAAAAGAATGAGATTGTGTGACCAGTAATATATGCAGATCACAGGAACAGGCACATATGACTTGATTGCAAGCGTGGCTACCCAAAGGAACACGAAACTACATTATTCTTGACTTTGATTCCAATCCTTCATGTTGATTACCAAAGCTGTGTAAAGGCAGCATCTTTAAAAATAGGAGCGAGACTTCAAGCAATCTTCAGTCCATTCTCATTTCCAAGAATTCAGGTTACCTTGCACTGTTCTATTTGTAGAGCACCCCATCTTATACAGACCCATCACACAATGGCAGCATCTTCTCTAACAGACAACACCCTTTTTTTATGATTTGACATCCCTTGTAACAAACTTGTGTTTTCCAAAAAGCCTTTGCTAATATTTGATCGGTCCTTCCAAACTCCCTGATGCAAACTGGACAAGCAGCAACAAAATTAATGTATTATTTAAGCAATGTACAATCTAGCTGACACATGAACTTGCCATTGCAAATACCTTTGTCGTAGTTATCATTCTCACTCATCTCAATTGCAGTAGATGAGTAAGACACTGAAATACTATAAATTTCAAACTATAGCCATGGTAAATACCTGCTGAACAATGGGGCTAGTTGAGGAAGTAAATTCATGTGTCAGTCCTTCCCAAACAATTTTCCCCTCATATAAGAAAATCAGCCTGGATCAATAAAGATTATCAGAGATACGATGAATTGAAACTCTAATCACATGCATTATATTTGATTGAAAAAGACATTTACCTATCAACTGCTCTTTGGATAGTACTATGTTGGTGAGTTACAACTATATATGATGCAGCCTTTCCAGCCAATCCAACAGCATCTTCACCTTTAATATGAACAGAACGGATCAGGTCTTCAACAACAGTTGATGCAATTGGATCAAGTCCAGCTGTTGGTTCATCATACAAAAGCACCTGCCCCAAAAAAAGAGACAAAGCAACCACTTAGCCAAAGAAATGGCAATTTTCTATTCGCGCTAATACAACTGACTTTAAGTGATGAAAAAGAAGAAAATATATAATACTAGAATTGACATTGCATGCTTGGCAAACAAAGCTGGTCAACATAAACAAACTACCTGGCGTGAAATCCCATCACATAGAAGCATTTTTGCTAAAATCTAGGTTGTGCATACACAAAACAGGCTCATAATCCTAAAATGTAGCACATAAAGGCAGATACAGCTTATTATTACCATGTACTAAAAACTCGAAAATCAGGACAAAAAAATTTGTAAAAAGAAGCATGTAAAGCTCCTATATCCATACATGCATATACATTATTATTATTAATAAGTATATAAGACACAGACATGACATCAAGTACTAAGGATGCTTAACATGAAGTGAATAAGGGATGGGAGCCACTGGATCAGCACAACCCAAGGCTTGACATTTGATAGTGTTGACAAATGAGCACGTACAATGGTACAAGTAGTAGTAAATAGAACATTGATAAAGCAGCACATACAAATAGGGAGAAGAGCATGTGAGTTTTAAAACAATTTCAAGAAATTTATAAGGAAACTTAACCAACAGTTGTAGGTAACAGCTGGGTAACGTTTCAACTTCTAAGCCATGTCCCAGCAGAGCAGACTATACTAAACAAGCAACAACAATATCAGAACCTGATTCCCAATGATGAGGTTAGGCCGGATGGCTACATAAACCAAGAATTTATTACTTGTAGTCATCAACAAAGATCCTCTCCCTCCAGGTTCTGATATAAGCTCATGTAAGGCTAATTTCTTCATATCATTCCTAACTCCTACATCCAACTCATTTTTTTATCTCCCACAACTTCTTTCAAGATTCCCATGATACCAAATCTCTATTTTCCTTACCGGCGCATATTTTGGTCCAACTTACATGCCCAAACCAACAAAATCAATTCTACCCAATCTTATTCTCAATGTCCTACATTCCAACTTTAAGGTGTTCTCACACCTCCATCTCAACATAAGCCTCTTTTATACTTCCGTTTTCCTAATCCTTCTTACAGCAGACTATACTAAATCCTTCCTGAAATTTTGAGCTTGAGACAGAAGAGAAACCATATGTAGATGGGTGTATTGTATCAAAGAGACTGAATAGAGAAGAAAAGAGTTCGGGTTCATTAGCCTGTAAGAGGGCAAGCTAAGTGGACAATATAAAAATTTTCAGCAATATACTAAAAATAATAAAACCAGTTCTGACTAACAGTCCTGAGAATTCCATTGTATTGCAAACCGCAAAGGGATTAATAGAACTATAGTGAGTCTATGGCCCCATCGCAACAGTATTCTCAGTATTTGGGCAGTTCTATCTTGGATGGTCATAAAGAATTTTTTTTTTTTAAAAAAAAAAAAAAAAAAAAAAAAGGAAACCTAGAAAAACATAAAGACAGGATAATTCTAAAACATCATATCACATCAAGTACATTCATAGGATCTTACAGCCATAAGAATACGGAAAAAATTCAAGAACTATTAATGAACTTATTAGTGATAGACATTACTGATAATGTTATATAATTCAGTATAGCATTATGATATTAAATGGCATGCTTCCAATTATATTGGGACCTGTGAAAGGTTTACTCATAGGGTATTATACATACCTCAGGTTCTACAGTTTCTTTTGTGACATCACATATGATAGAACGAGCCAAGGCAACTCGTTTTTTCATCCCTCCCGATAACTCAGAAGGTAACCGATCCTCAACATCCTGCACATAAGCAATATTTTTCGGTATATCTCAGAATCACCTCACCCAACTAGCAATTAGTGACATGAACAAGCTTGTCATGGCCATAAAGACTCTTAAAAAGGAGATTACTATTTCTATTGTTAATACATACCTTCAGTCCTACTGCGGCTAAAGTTTCAGTTACCAGCTCAGAAATTTTATCATCCGGCATACTAGAATTTTCATATCTAATTCACGGTGGGTAAATGTAAAAAGTGGGTAAGCAATTGTATCAAACCCATAAGAAATTCTCAAAAGAAATAACTGATGAGGAGAGGAGCCTCTTACAAAAGGAAACCAACATTTTCACGCACGCTTAAAGAGTCAAATAATGCAGCACTTTGAAAGACCTGTCAATCAAGCAGTACAAAAATGAGCATCCATATGCATTATACAGCTGCTCCAATGAATAATACTTCGTAATTAATGATAATGCACAATTACCAAGCCAATACGAAGGCCAGATATTGAGACCTCCTCATCACTGATCAATCCTTCTCTCTGTTTCCCTCGAATATAGACCTCACCCTGTTTAGCACAGTACGTCAGTACTCAGACATATTTTTTCAGTTAAATTTATAAGGCTAGTGAGCAAGTACAAAAGGATCCCAGCAAGATTGTTTACCTTGTCTGGAGCAAGAAGTCCAGCAATAATTTTTAATATGGTGGATTTTCCAGTACCAGAAGGTCCAATTATTCCAACTGCTTCCCCGTGTCTGATCTACAAGCAGTTGTAATGATCAAGAAACATTTTAGGAATGGAATCAAAAAGTAGTACACTCTTCCCCCACACGAAAAGAATATGGAGAAAATGAATTTGCACCTTGAAGCTTACACCTCTTAGAATGTGTTTTTCTCCAAATGACTTGTACACATCTCTACACTCGATAAGCACATCCGAATCATCCTCGGGTTCATCAATTGAGTTAATAATCTTCATATCAGAAGAATCCTAATACCAAGAAAAAGAGCATACACAACCAAGTTTACAACCCAGCAAAAAAAAAGCACAAAAAGTATCAAAAAATTCTTCACTGGAAACTGAAGTAAATAAATACTTAAATGCAAAAACAATTAAACCAAAGTTATCAAAGTAACTAACAAGCAAAAACAAGAAAAGTATAAAAAACAAAGATTGAGAGGGAATTCTTAACTACAGAACAGAAATAAAGGGATACACAATGTAATTGCAAATTTAGATTGCTAGCCTATCCGATAAAGTGACCGAGACCTTGGATCAAATCTCGTCTACATCATTGCCCTTTGCAACTACCATGTAATTGCAAATAGGACTGAAAGACAAATGTAAAAAGACAAAGACATCAAATCACAACCATGATTACATATATACAATCATTAATCCAAAACACAATTGACATAATGATAGCTAACTACAAAATCAATAACTTGCATCAAAATAAAAGCACTTACACTCAATTTAAAAGGGGAAAAACCCTCGTTCACATTTCTTGAAGGTGTCATACAAGAACAAATGATTTTCCTCTGCTTAAAACCCCAAGAATTGGATATATTGGAAACAATTGTACCAGAAAATATAGTAGAACGAGTATACACATTATATGAAGGTAAAGGAAACATATATGAGCTCGATGTAGACAGCATTTTTGATCAAATCCAATATAATTGGGTGTATTAAAGAAAAGGGTTTTTAAGCAATTTTAAGGGAAATTCAATACAATTGGATTAGGTTTCGATTGAAAGGGGGGAATTTATATTTTGGGTAGCTGAAATTTGGAATAGGGTATGGAAATAACAGGATAGAATACAGATTAACTAGCAAATCAATAGAACCCTAAAAAGAAGAGAGAGGGTTCAGGGTATTGATGAAATCCCTGAAAATTTGAGGAGTAATTGGGAATTTTGTGATGATAATTGGGTCAAAATGTAAGATTATGCAATTGATTTTTGGGAGAGATTATAGTGGAGGATTTAAGAGTGATTTGGAGTCCCAGAAAACTGGAAAATGGGGAAGGGTAGGAAGTACACCCACAGTACTAGTCTTAAAAACAAACAAGAATATTATTTTTATAAAAAAAAAAAAAAAAACAAAACAAAATCAATAATGAAAATTTGTAAAAAAAAAATTTTAAAAAAAAATTAAAAACACCTTTTACGAAAAAAAAATCTTTTAAAAACTTTTTGGTAAAAAAAAAACCACCACGTTCATTATTTTTGCAAAAGGAAACCTATTTCCTTAACCTAATTATCTTCTAATTAACTTGATTATAGACTCTAATTTTCTCCCGTTTTAACTAATTAACCTCTAACCCACCCAATTACTAAATAATTAGATTACTTAAAAAAAAAAAAAAAAAAAAACACCACCTCAACCACCCCTTCCCCTTCTTTTTCCCTTTCCCCCTCCCTTGAAAGCAACCCCCTCACCATCGGACCGCCGCCCAAATCCTAGCACCTCCGCCGACCTTCCTCCATCGCCAGTTGACCCAACCTTTCCCCTTAATCCCCTTGGCGACCACCACTCCTTTGAGTTTTTTACTCTTATTTACTCAAACATGCTCAAATCAAGTCCAAATTGATTGCAATTTGATTTTAAATCACCCTATCATCACATACATACATAATCAAACCCAAAACAAGCATCAATTGCAAGCAAGATGCACAAAATTTAAAACTCCCTAATCTATTTTCTAGGGTTTAATTTTCTAAATCAAGGAGGTGGTTGTCGGGAGGTGATTAGGGGGAAAGAGAGGGTTGTCTGGCGGTGGAGGAGGTCGCTGAAATTGGGAGCCGGGATTTGGACAGCAGGTCCGGTGGGGGGGGGGGGGGGGATGCCATGGGAGGAATAAGGAGGAAGAAGGGAAGGAGGAGGAGATAGGGTGGTGGTTTTTATTTATTTATATATATATATATATATATATATATATATATATATATATATTAAATTTAATTATTTAGTAATTTGGTGGGTTAGATGTTAATTAGAAAAATTTAGAAGCTAATTAAGTTAATTAGAGGGTAATTAGGGAAATAGGTTTCCTCTCGCAAAAAAAAAAAAATTGAACGTGGCGGGTTTTTTTTTAACTAAAAACCTTTTAAAAGGTTTTTTTTTTCGCAAAATGGTGCTTTTAAAAAGTTTTTTTGGACAAATTTTCCAATAAATAAAGAAAATAATACTTGCACTCCGTAACCGTAACTAGTAAGTCGTAATTTAGAGCTGTCAATTCGAGTATTAAGCTATGGTTGGTTTTGGTACTTCATGATTCTAAAGGTTTATCTATTCACCTGATTTTCACTTATATGAACTTATCTAAATTTATTAGATCTTATTAAAACCTAGGAAATTTTGACATTTTCTATTAGGAAAAACACCACGATTCACATTTGCTACTGTTTATTTTTTTATTTTTATTTTTTTACTTTGATACCACCTAAATCAGAGTTTGTTAGAAATCACTACCCCTTAATAATCTGTTAGGATTTCCGTTAAGTTTAATGGAAAAAAAAAAGTAAGAAACCTACCCACGGCCGGCGCCAAAAGATTCGACTGGCGCCAGCAACCTCACCCCCTCCCTTTTCCCTACCCACGAAGCCAACCCTCCCTCCCTTTCCCCCACCCACGAAGCCAACCCCCATCGAAATCAGCCCCCCTCCCCGTTACCCCCATCGAAAGTGACCCAACACCCCTAACCCTAAACCACCAGCCCGAAACCACCCTTAACGGGTTTTAGGTTTTTGCTCATGGTGGTTTTGGGGTGGTGGTTTAGGGTTAGGGGTGGCCGAAAAGGGTAGGAGAAGGGGAGGGGGATCGATTTTGGTGGAGGGAACGGGGAGGGGTGCTGAATTCGGTGAGGGTTGGCTTCGGTGGGTGGGGGGAAAGGGAGGTGGGGGTTGGCTTCGTGGTTGGGGGAAAGGGTGGGGGTTAGTGTAATACCGAATATTTTATGATTTTATATTGTATAGTTTATATTAAAAAAATAGTTATTTTTATTTATTAAATAACTAACTTAATCTCATATTTTTATTTTAGAGTTTGGAAAGGTTTAAAACCCTAAGTATATGGGGCAAAACTTGTAGGTTTTATTAAATTATCCTGACTTTCTTTTCTTAATCTTTGTTCCTTTTCTCTATCCTACGTATTTTTCCTCACCATCAAATCCAATTCATCACTTGATATTTTGCTAGCCATATTATGCATGTTATTAGTACTCTTATCATATGATTTAATTTATATTAATTTGATCATCATTGATATCCACAATGTTCGTCGTCAGTGCTTTCCCCTCGAATTTTGGAGTTGTAGGTTCTTTTTTTTTCCCGGTTATTAGTATGTCCCAATGTGTGGGTATATATATATCGATAAGAAAGGTAAACACACTGTCAACCCTTAATTAGATCGTTTGTTTGTAATTTGATTGTATTATTTATTTTATGTAATCACACAAATTTTATGTTTAATTATTATTTATTATATGTAATCACACTATATTTTTGAGATGTTTATATTTTCGTAATGTTATATGTGATATGATTTATTATTTGTACTCTTTGTATATATGATTAATTATTATGGTATTATGATTTGATTAGATTTGAGTATTGTATTATTTTTGTTGTACATAATTGATTATACAACTATGCTAGGGTTTTAATGTTGTTGCTCTATGGAGTATTGTTGTTGAGGTTTTAGGGTTGTTATAATGCAGAGTATTATTTTTTCTTTTGGTTAAGATTTGATTAATTTTGGTACTAGTATTAGTTCTATAAGAGTTGAGATATTTGATGAGCTGAATATGTTGTCATATATGAATTGGGAACCTGTGTCAATATTGAGATATTATTTATTATCATTTGAATGATTATTTGATCGTTGTATGAGATCAAAAGGTTGAGATTATTATTTTGTTATTGGTTTGAGGCTCGGCGTTATAGACCTTAATCCTTGGCATGTTGGTAATGAGATAATGATAATGAGTTAAGAATGAGGTACAATCTTTACTATTTGTTTTTCTATGGTCCCCTGCAGTTGACCCGTATGTGGTCTGCTTCAAAGTGTTTTCTGGTTATTGCGAGTATTCAAGTTTTTATACTTGTTCGTTTTATTCGAATTACCCATGTCCAAGGCTAGGTATAAAACAAAGAGCATGTCACATTTATTGGTTATGAGTTAATTGAGTGAAGGATTGTATTATTATTCGAGGTTGAGTTGATAAAGGTTATTTTCAGAGTATAATGTGCAATGTATGTTTAGAACTGCATTGTTTAATTGAACTAGTAATGTTGATTATCCTATTATACTCTGTATTATGATATGTGATGATTACTCAGCTTCTTGCTGACGTGTGTGTATTGTTTTGTTGTGCTACTTGTGTTTGCAGTTATGTTTTTTTCTCATGGTGGCCTTGCGACGATCTATTTTGGAATTTGTCCTTAATGGTGAGCAGCCAAGTTTGTCTAAACAGGTTGATCAAATGGTCGTAGCTAAAGGAGCTCAAGTGTTTCGATTATTTTGTTATAACAAGTTTGTAAAGTTGTATAAATAGCTCACCTAGATTTATTGAGTTATACAGTTGGGATTTTGTAAGCCTTAACAATTGACAGGTTGTTGAGTGTGGTGGTGATACCTCCGATTTAGGTGTATATGCTTCCGCAATTTTATTTAAAGGTCGTTTATTTTCCTTTAATTCTTGTTTATTATTAATTAGTAAATCGGGGGTGTTACAGTTAGCTTCTTAGGTGGGGGAAAGGGAGGGTGGTAGGGTCGCCGGCCGTTGGCGGGGGGGAGGGTGTGGCAGTTGAGGGGAGGGTGTGGCAGTGGGGTGGCTGGAGGGTGGTTCGGCCTCACTGACGGAAACTGTTACGGTGTAAGGCATGGAGTAGTAATTTCTAACTAACTCTGATTTAGGTGGTAGCAAAATTTTTAAAAAATTAAAAAATTATAACAGTAGCAAATGTGAATGGAGGCGTTTTTCCTTGTAGCAAATGTCAAAATTTCCTTATATAAACACAATAATTTAGCTCGACTTAACTTTGAAATAGATTAAACATGATTAAACCTCATCCAACTCGTCCCATGTTTTAAATTGACACCTCAAACTCTTATGTCTTATCCAGTGTAAGTCATGAACGACAACATAATCCATGAGGATTTGGATATCATTGAAAATCGTAATGAATCAATAATTTTCTTAAAACAGTCTAGCTCGGATTTGGTGCTAATTAGAAGGGTGCACGAGTATCATGAGGGCAATTTATAATCGTTATGTAATTTTAAATCCTCTACTTGGAACAATCAACAATCTATTACTCCCCTTTGTCAAAAAAAAAAAATAAAAAAAAATCTATTACTCTGATTTTTTTTTTTTTTTTAACTCTTAAAAAATAAAACTTTGTAACAAGAAGCATGAAAAACAACGACTTTATTAATCAAGCTAGATGACACACATTTTCTCAAAAGTGCTTGCTAGTAAACGTCATGGTCTCATGGAAGCCATTTTTCATGACCCCGTCTATAGAATTAGATTTTTATTTGATGATGATCAACTATGTACAAATCATCAATCAATTAACCTATACTAAAAGCGAATCTAAAATGACATTTGTCACAATGTCATTAAAAATTTTCCCGCCCAATTTTACTTTCTATTTTTATGCAGATTATATATTGAAGGAAATCATTTTATAATAATTTAAAATATCTTTCTTCCAATTAAAATTTTTAACAATAATAATTTTCCATATAAACCTAACTGATATATTTTTACATATACGTAGTCTTTTATATTAGGTATTATTTTTATTAAAAAAAATGAGGTGAGTATTATTAAACAATATTGCTATACATTATTTTAGTTTTCGATAATACTATTAACTTTTTTTCATCCAATTTTTTACTTTTGCAATAATGTTTAATTCAATTAAGCATAAAATCATTTTGTTAAGACATATATACACACTTTATTTTCTACTCTTACAAGTTGTATTAATAATAACGCAGAACGTGCAGGTACTATATATATAACCTTAGATTTTTTAAAAATAAAAAATAAAAAATAAATAAATAAAGCCTCTTTTTTTCTAAGTGTCACTAGCTAATTTA